TGGATATTTAGTTCAAATTTGCATTCGGTACCAAACTCTCCAAACATATCTCCATCTAGATAAGTTTTAAAGTGCTTTGGATGTTACTTTAATGTGCTCTTGGGGACTAGTTTCTAATGATTTGGTTTTACCTGGCATGGTCTATGTGGTACCAATAAAATATATGTCACAATGGTGTCGACATCCATTTCATTAGCCTCATTTTTATTGCGCTTTCTATTAGTCGTCATCTTTCCTCTCATTTAATAGCCATCGATAACATTGCTCCCAACTACCTTAGAGTGTAGTCTAGCCTCATTTTGCTCTTTTAGGTGTTTAATGAATGATGATGATGTTAAGTGGACCGACTGCGAGAGATATATGCAAAACGAACATAATCAAAGAAATCCTTACATTTCTTACTTAAATAGACCAATTGCACCAAACATAAGAGTATGAGCCATCGCGTGTGAATATCCAAGTCTAAGCCCGAGCTCGTCTGATCTTGGTGAACAGTAAAAAAATACTAGAAAACTAAAAATAATTTGGGAAAATGGATGGAAGATGTTCGAGTGTGTGATGTTTGTGTCAAATTTTGTGGTGTTTGGACATCTGAGTAGCTATTAGCAAAAAAAATGATCCAAACAGTAAACTTTCTCGTAGACCTCGAATTTGTTTTTAGAGCTACTCAGATGTCCAAACGCCACCAAATTTGGCACGAATATCACGCACTCGAACATCTTCCATGCTAAAAAATCAGAATTTTTTAAAAAAATTCTAGTATTTTTTATTTTACTGTTCGCTCGAGGGAATAGATGAGCTCTGGAGCCATTTTAGCCGCGTCCCAACCACGTGCACCTTTTTTGATAGGCGACTTGGGTTCATTAGCTTACTTTCCTTTAGACTAGGTAACATTGAGAAGAATGAAATGCAATGATCATCCTCCTCTCATCCCAGATGAAGGAGGCCTCACCATGTCCACCTTTTGTCTTCACTATATTGCCCATTAAACCATAGTTGGAGCCATCATAGGAGAATATGGCGCGTTGATAGACTTACATTTGGACAAAATCAACAAATATGTAAGACTGACCACATATTTGTATCGATTTGACAGGCTAAACATGTAAAATGTGGCTGCACCATTGAAACTAACCTACAAATCGTATTATGTGGTTTGATGCTCCAAAAACACGTTAAAGGTTTTCTTGTTTCCATGTGATTAAGTCAATGCTGAGAACGAGATAAACTACCATAAACAGATAAGTATATGCATGTCAAACATTAGTTTGGTCACTACGAAATAATTGCTAGAGTAGATTTTTGTGAAGCGCGATACTGGCACTTCGCATGTATGCAATGAGGAAGTTTGTATCGGGAGTTAGGATATTTAGTTCAAATTTGCATTCGGTGCCAAACTCTCCAAACGTAACTCCATGAGATAAATTTTAAAGTGCTTTGGATGTTACCTTAATGTGGTCTGGGAGATTAGTTTCTAATGATTTGGTTTTAGCTGGCATGATCTATGAGGTACCAATAAAATATACGTCATAGTGGTGTCAATATCCATTTCATTAGCCTCCTTTTTATTGTGCTTTTTGTTAGTCTCCATCTTTCCTCTCATTTAATTTTTTTTTAGAGAAAAGGCGTCGGCCGAGCCCGAGAAGAGCTAGAACCTAGTCCGATTTTAAATTAACAATGCCATCAACTGGCCAGGATTACATGGAAGCAACATACACAAAGGGAGAAAGCGGAAAAAGGGATACAAGGTGCAAAGAAGAACATCTCTAAGGCAACAATGTAACGCCCCAAGACCGGAGCTTCAGATGCCTTCCAGGTTTTCGGGTTTTCGTTGTGTGTTTTGTCTAGTTCATTGCATTCATCATTGCATCATGTGCATTGCATCATGTCATCATGCAACCCGTTTTAAAACTCAACTAAATAAATTGCATGGATCTTTGATCCATTTAAACTGAGGGAATTCACATGGTGATTCTCTTTATAATATATCATCCTAATATTTAGGGAGCTATATTAAAATATTCCATTAACTTGGAATCACCCATAACACAATTGCACTAAACTTCAACTCTTCCCTTACCCGACTCATCCTCCTACCCTTCCGTTTCGACCTTTTAAGTTAAATTGCAATTGAGTTGCAATTTTACTTTCTCCATTAATGTTCATCTTGTGCCCATAAATCATATCTATTATGTAGGGCCATCCTATAAAATTTAAGCCCATTTGGTTTCAGTTTGGTTAGGTTATAAATTCATACAAGTTTGAATTAAATTCGAACATGTTTAAATTTATAGTCTGTAAAAATTTCCAAACTAATTTGTTTAAATCGGGCATATTTCATGGTTTCCAGAAATATGTACCTCCATCCCTACTTCAACCCCAAACCCTCTATACTTTTCTCTTTATTTCTGTTTACGCATTAAATATAAAGGGAATAAGAGAGAGAAGCCCAGCCTCTTGGGCCTAGTTCTACCACGCCGGCCCATTTGCGCTGAGGACTCTAAGGCCCATCTGTAGCCCAGTCGCGCCCCCGTGGTAACCCTAGCCCATCCCTTCGTTCCCATGCCCGCCGCCTACTCCCGCATCGCTCCTCTTTCTCTCCCTCGATCTCTTTCCCTGGAGCGCCGCCGAGCTTTCGGTCCTCTCCCTCTCGCATCCGCGTGCACCCAGCGCCAGACCACGCAATCCACCCTCGCCGGAGAAGTGGACCACGCTGGAGCCCAGTTGGCCTCCTCGCCGTCGTTGCGCCCTTTCCATCAACAGCAGCGCGCCGGATCCCTTCCCTTTGCTCGATCCCACGCTCGAGCAGGCGTTCAGGAAACCTCCCGCGCACTCGGTTCCTCTTGCCGTCCGCTGCTCCGGCTCCCTCCGGCCATGCACCTCCCTTCCCGATGTCCTCCTCGAGCTACCTCGTCGCCCGAGGCAGTGCCTCCCCGCGTCCGGTCGCCGCAAGATGTCCATGACCAACGCCGCGATTTCCTCCTCTGCTCGCAAGCCTTGCTTCGCTGCTGCGCCTCCCTGACCTTACTGCCTCCACGGGGCACCAGTAGCACATCCACCTCGCCGTCCGATGCTGCTCCACCCTATCGCCTCTGCCAGCCCCGCGTTGCTGCTTGCGTCCGCCAAGTTCGATTACCTTTTGCTGCCCCGATCAAGATCGCCAAGTACCGGGATGACCCGCGAAGCCCCCTGGACGCCATGTACCACAACCGCTACATTCTGTTTCATCTCTGTCGAGACCAAGAGGACGCAAAGTACCAGGATGACGACGACCCGTCAAGTTCATCTAC